CTTTTGACGTTATGCCTTCATTTATAAAGATAATTAATATGTTGATTGAGTCTTCAACAGATGAGAAAAAAGAGAATTGACACCAATTCAAATTAGATATCATTTTTTATTGGATAAAATAGGAAAAATAATAATTTAAAAATCCCTCCGTACTGGCTGTTATCCCATTGACTTCACACTGCAGCACTGGCATGGAGTTGCATGAATGGAGTATGATCCCATCATTATATTCTTCAAAGAGGGCAATGCAGTAATAGTGACTACATGCCACTTTGACCACTTTGCAAAAATGTGAAAAGGAATTATCGGAATGGTGGAGATCACACACAGAAGTGTGCTGCATTGGTAAAGCCATATTACCGTGCACAATCCAGAATTTGTTGTAAACATAGGAAGTGGATGGTTGACAGCGCTGACCTGAGGACATTTAGACGTGATCAGCTGGTGCAGGGGGCCAGCTTGTTATCGGGCTCAGTCTATGCTGACGGAGAGGGACATCTTTACCGCTGCGGCAACACTAATATACGCGGCTATAACTACAGGTGATTCCAGCAGAATCTTTCCTCAGTTTGCCTATTTCTGTTGAATGTGAAAAAAGCTGACCTCTACACTCTGTGACGCCTAAAGTGGAAAGCGTTGTGACTCTGGTCTATTCATTTGTGGTGGGCAGTAATAAATAAACTGGAGACCAAAGTCATCAGATGCTTCTGATTTCTTCTCAATTTCAACTGAACACAACAAACTGACTATATCAACAGACACAACAGTGTCATAACTAAGAAAGCACATCCAGGAGGGCTTTTTAAGCCCTATCAATCATGGGTGGAATTTAATGAAATACATTTACACTTTTTTGTACTTTTTAACTCCTTTTTCTACTACATTTATTTCACAATTAGTAACTTTGCAGAATATTTACATTAAGATAAATCAGTTTGCAAAATGTTCAGCAATCCACTGCTCCACCTTACACATTTAAAATGCTCCTTGTGTATTTATTCATCAATAATAATGTTCCAACTTCCCATATGCATATTTTTTGTTACAAACCTTTAATTATTGGGTAGTTTTTTCCTGATTTTGTGTAGGTTTATTCAAGTAAACTTTTAAATGAAGGGGTTTCACTCGTGAGGGAGTATTTGTATACTCTATAACAGTGTTTCTCAAACTTTCTCATACCAAGGACCACTTAACCAATAAAAAAAACGCGGACCACCTAACTCCACAAATATCAAAAAACACATCATTTTTCTAGAACAGATTACAAATCGCCTGAAAATGGTACAAACAAGTAGCAACATGTGTGATGAAGGTGTTGTGCTGGGCTATATCATGCAATCGAAAGTGAAACTTAACCTCACTCCATTGCGGAGATATTCCCGCGAGAGTGCGGAAAACTTACATTTATTTATTTATTTAAAATGTGAAATTGTACCAATATACTCGCGGACCACCAGGGGGCACTCACGGACCACAAGTGGTCCGCGGACCACACTTTGAGAAGCACTGCGCTATAACAATACCTCATACTCTTACTATGTCTTCCACTAAAATTGATCAGAGGTGTAACAAGTCATTAATATAGGATTGATAGATACTGCTGTGAAAGTTAGATATTGTGTCAAACAGAATCACGATATAATATTTTTTAAATTAATGATAGCAGCAACCTTGCCGTGTTAAAGTGATGCTAACTGTTCATATCCATATTATAAATATTTCTGTATTGCTCGTGATAAATTAAAACGGTTACTTGGTTCTCTGTAGTTACAGCTGGAGGTACATTCTAGAAGATGGTTGTAAAAGTAAATATTTAGGTTGTTTAATTTTTTTTGAGTAAAACAGAGGATATCGTGCTGACTACGTTGAGACACTAATTATTTTCTAGGGTCGTGGTTTGACTTGCGAATACATTTTTCTTTGTTTCCATACATCTCATTATTTTTTCAAATCAAGATAAAATTGCTTTGAATGCCTTGGGATTAGCAAGGTCATATCATAAATATCTAAATGTATATGGTAGGTTTAATGACGCAGGGGAATCAGTGAAGTACAAAATGTGCTGTTTTCCGTGTTATTACAATAAATAATCAATCTTATTACAGAAGTGCTCATGGGGTCTAATGTCCACACTTTTCAAGCTGTCATTTAAAATGCACTGCAGTACACCAGGATGTCCCATGTATAATGAAGACATTACTTACAATACAAGGTTGATAAAGAGACATCATGGCTTTAATCAACCTTATACAAGTCTGAAGAGGGTCAGAAATGTCTCTGCCGCACCAATAACTATTTTTAATTGATAAAAACATAATTTTGTCCAGTCCCCTGGGCCTAGGATGGAGATTCAGTATAACTTGAGGGCCTTCCCTCACATGGCGTGAACAAACCTTTATGCTCTGCTGCTGTGTAATTGTGTGTGTGTGTGTTTTTCCAAATTGTAGTCACAGAAACACACAGACACGGCAAGGAATTATACTTGTCTGTACGGTTTGTTAGCACTCAAGAGATAAAACTTTACATGTTGCTCCCAATTAGCACAGCAGTGACCGCACACTGTCTCCTGTGCTCAGCTTCCCCTCTGAAGAGGGGCTATTTATGTGGAGACTCATGAGAATGTGAGAATTGAGGCGAGATATGGACTGTGTGAGATAGAGTGTGTGTGTTAGAAGGGAGACAGGGTGAGAGAGGGAGTGAACGAAAGAGATAGAGAAAAAGGGAGAATTGAAATGGCTTAAGCATCCATTTTGAGAAGAGAGACAGGTCCTATTAGCATTTAACAGCATTTGTGCAACTTGGTGCCGAGGTTATGATGCAAATGAGGAGGAATTAAAACTGGCCAGAGGTTTGTCATTGATGGATTGCAGTCTGGCAGTGCTCACACTTCCCAGTGTCCATCAGAAGCGATTACTGTGTAATTAAACCTTATTTCTGGATTCTCTAGTGCATAATTACTTTGTGAATGTAACCATCATCTAAAAGCTACAAAATGCTTTACCATTTAGTGTAGCAGTCAGTTCCATGGGCTTGTGTCAGATATAGCCATCAGACAGAGCAAAAGAACTGTCACTTTTCATAAGAGGCAAAAAATTAAATGAAACAGAATGCTTATTACAGAAAAAATAGGCTTTCAAGAGTCCTTTCTGTTATTTGCATAATTTATCCCCCAACCCCCTACATATACACACACACACCGCAAGCTTTAGGCAATTTCCCTCACATTTAAATAGATTGCACATTTAAGGCTACTTAAGGAAAATTATCACTTTGCATATTTTAATTGTTATGAAGGAAGTGATTTGAGAGAGGTCTGTGGCTCATCCTCTTGAGCCATGCGGTTGCGAAGCTGTCTGATTCGGCTGCTCGGCGCTGCAGCTCCACAGATAACCTCCGAGTTCACACACATCCACTCCAGTTTCATCAGAATGCAAATGAAGCACCGAACGCTGGGACAAGTGGATCTTTGATATTTACAAAATAGCCACTAATAACTTGAGTGTAATTTGTTTGACTCAACTTTATTTTTTTCTCTTATCAGTCCTGATTTTTTTCCCCCACTAGTCAAATGGCTCTTGTTTAAAAATGCAGTGCAAGGAAACAAAGGGCGTGTTTGCTGCTAGAATTTCCGAGACAGCAGTATGTGGACTGTATCTATATCCATCCATTTAGATCTCTCTCATAACAGACATGCTGCTGAGGCACAAGTCCAAGATAGACACTGTTAAACATGAAAACAAAGCATGTGCATACATATGCAGTTAGATGTTATGATCTCCAACAAACATCAGTCACAGTTAACACTGTGAAAGGCAACAACCTGCTAAAGGAGCAATATTATGGAGCAGTTCAACTGTAGAGACTGTTTAAGGTGTCGCTGCCAGTCTGTTTCAGTTGGTACACAGTATAATGGAAAATGGGTTCATCTTCATCACAAACATCAGTTGTGTAGACACTTACCTCCTGGTGCACTGAATGTGTAGCTTGCTAAGTTAGATTCAATTTAGAACAACATGTTTAAACAGACTTTATTTATCATACTTTCATTAAAAACATTATGGATGTGGGCGTGGCTCACCTTGAACAATGTATTTATTTGTATCAGAAATGTTACAAAGTTGTACTTCAGAGATGAAATGTATAGAATACTAGAATGAACTGTTCCTGTTTTAAACACACAATTGATCAGGCAACGCTCTTCAGCATAATAGTCATGCTTGATAAGACTAGTGAACAATTCCATTCTCCAAGGACAGATTTCCATGAGAGACTGCAATGTTTCAAGTGTTAGTGTTCTCACCTTGACAAGCTGGTCAATGCTTGTGAGAGGAGTATTCAGAAACTGACAATATTAAATTCACTTTTTTTCTTTTTTCTTAACCCTTAGTTTTTGTAGTTCATTTTACTCCACATTATGTGCAACACAGGCTCTATGGAAAGGAAAACATGTTTTATGTATTCCAATGTATGAATATTTCCCCCAAATCAAATCTGTGTTTTTCACCCTGTGTTTATAATCAATGGAGTGCAGAAATAGTTCTAGGATAAAGCTCACCCATTTGTGTAAATTGCGGCAGGAACTTCCCCCGCACAGAAAACCTATTAATGTTAACATGAAAGAGGAATCTTAAGCATAGCTTCTCATTTCGTAATACAAAAACAGCAACTATGGGAATTGTATTATTGTGGATCATTACAGGTGTATTAAGTGAGTGGAGTGACATTTAAAAGTAAGCCTCAAAATTAGCCTATTTTAATTGCTGCAAACCAAATTACTTTACTTCATATTGTTTTTGAACACTAGTGAAATAAGAGAAATTATGATTTAAGTTGTCATGGATTCAACATGGTCTCAAGAAATAGCTGGAAACGGAAATAGCACAGGCTTACATCAATCACACCATTGCAAATGTAATGAAGGAAAAGTTACAAAATGCTTCCACTTTTCAGGACAAAAAGAAAACATCTTTATTTAGTATTTCAAAAACCTTTTTGTACCATGAAATCAAAATACATTTAAATCGACTGTACTGTAAGTATGGCAATACATACACACATATAAACATGTATGTGGTGCATTTTTCATATGTATGCTGTACATCATTAGCAAATGTACAATACGTACAGCTATGTGCAAGTTTATTCTCTGTACATGAATATGAAAAGTAAAAACCCAGATTGTTCATATGTTAATGTTATTCCCTCATACTTGCATGTAGAGTTGCAAGTGCACATGCATACACGTTAACATGCGCACTACAACAATTCACAAAGGATTAAAGCAATTTGTTTCTTTTTAGGAAATGATTTGAACTTGCATTGGAGACCTTGTAGAAGACCTACACAGCCAACAGCAATTCAATGGATATGTGATATCGTAAATAAACAGTAGTATGAGGAGGTTGACCTTATCTTTGCCCTCAAGGTGTCATATTTTTTATGTGACTTGTAATTGACAGTGTAAAGACAGTCTTTGTGAGGTAGACTGCTTAACTTCAAGAGCAAGCTTTTGTTTTGTTTTTCACTTTTTCACTTTTTTTTTCTTTTTTTTTTATCCACAAATGCATGACATTCAAAATGACAGGACATAAGTACTACATGTACAATATGTAGCAATGAGGTAGAAATGGTTATAAAGAATACCAGACTGTAAAACTACATAAGAATGGAATAAAGGTCTTAAGCAGTCCTCAACAAAATGTAATTACACAAATACTGACAGATTCTGAAACAAAAAAACGATTCAAGTGGCATCACTGTAAGACTCAATGTGCTTATCATAGGTCATGTGTTGGTTGTGAGTGTTGGCCTTTTTTTAATAAATCCCCCCCATTAACCAAAGCTTTTTTTAATGATAACATGTATAGCATGATAAAACATACACCTTAATAACCTCCATTGTTTCCTTACATCAGATCTTGTTGAAGGCTTTTTACTCTCTAGCTGTGATGTAAACTGAAACATCCAAATGTAATTATTCACCATTTGCCTTGTGTTACACTGTGTTCTACCACATGGTTCTGGATACAACAAACAGAAATGTGACGCGAGCTGTTTCTGTTGGAGTTATTACAAGCACAACTTCATTTGAGTGTAACATTCCCCCTTTTAACACACAATATCTCTCTGTAAGTTTATGAACTGTCGCCTACTTAAACTTGTGAAATCTGCGCATGTTAATGGCACTTAGGGCTCCTTATCACATTCTTGTCAAATATCATTTTGAAATTCACAATCACAGACACACAATTATATTCCGGTGTAAAAACACACTGGTTGTTTGTGACACAGTCTGCTAATATCTATGTTGATTTTTGTTTTAAAAGATTAACAAATTGTTACTTTTTGTAATGTAGGCTTGAGGTAAATGACTCTTCATAAACACAGACAGAATACAACAGAGGGGTTTACAGTTTTTTGCCCTTTCAGTGTTTTAAAAATGCAAATATCAAAAGTGTGACATTAAGGTCACTAAAATTCACAACTTCTTCAACTTGTTTCACTTTGGATTTAATTTGGCAACCAATAAACACCTCAAAGTATAGTATCAAATTAAACAATATTAGAGGGGCTTTACAAAACGTTTTTTCCATTTATATTTGCTTAACTACACATGTTTCACATTTGAAGCATCAAACCGGAGTTTGCTACACGTGTGTGTAAAAGAAATGTGGCTGAAGACACATCAAGGTGTTTACAGTTTGTGTAAAAAAGAAATTGCTATTTTACAGGATGAATGTAAACAATACATCTGTCTTTAGATTTGGTTTATAAAGAATCTGTGTAAATGAAAATGTGAAACTACAGCAAGATATTATGTTGAGAAGCGTGCAAGCTTTCCCTGCTGCTACGTAGCTTTTGTGTAGATGCTATGTATAAATCCCAACATGTGCAATAGGCAACAAGATTTAAGGATCTCCTTTGAAAAACCAACACAAGGTCCTTTAGTGCCTCTGCAGAATGACACACCTACAGTGATATCTACTTCAGTGGCATTTTTCAATGTGCGAGTGCTTTGCTTTCCCTACTGCTCAGAGGACGTAGTACATTCAATAACATTTCTTACTTGCCAATTCAGCTGTCAGTCTTGCTCTTTCATTGCCAAAAAAGAGTATGGAAATGTAATGGCAGCAAATAGTGATTAATAACACTGTAAACACAACAGTTAAAATGAATAAAAATACAAAACAGAATTCAAAAACAGTTTTTTGTACAGCGAGACTAGCCTTTAAAACATTTTCTTAAAAAGGAATGCCACTCAATTCATGATGGTCATAGTTATGGCCTAAGACAGACAAAACAACAATTAAAACAACTTGGAATTAAAATAATCGAACTGGTTTCAAGTCAGAGAATTCCTACGAAAGATCACTGTGATAACTTTTAAATTAAAATGTTTCCTTTGACATCACAGATTCAGGGGCCAAACAAGCAACAACATCCACTGGTGAATGTTAGCTAACACAGACCAATCTGTCCTAACGCAAAGGCGATGTGTATCCCAACCATAACATTCAGTGCTATTCCCCTTTAAGTGCATTATCTGGTTCATGGGAGTTATAAAAATGTAAAGCTAATAGATGTTACACACAACACAATACTGTTTGGTGTTGTTTCAAAAGGTCTCCTCATCAAACAAGCAGAATAGGTGCTGTCTTTTGCTGTCTTCATGTATTTGTCTTTCAGAGATAGCTAACAAAGTGAGGTAGAAAGGAACTTAGGCTATACATAATCCTTAGGTTTCATTATTGATAAAACAGCAGCAGGATGGAATTAAATAGCTCGGGGCCACTGTCTTCTTCAACCCCAATATGTTTGTCTGCACCTTTCAAATTTCTCTCAGCTCTGCATCACCACAAGCTCAAGTAAAGAACTCCAAACAAATTACTTTTTTTTGTCTTGTAAATAAACCGAAATGACTCTCATACATTCAATGTAGGGACTTTCTAATTTCCTGTGAAGCTTTTTGAGGTATTATATAGCCTTACATGGTTTGATGATGTTATATCAAATGTTACACAAGCCTATGAGGTACTGTACATATCATCACTTTCCTGAGTTTTTAAATAGAGAACATTAAAATAAAAATTGTACAATTTTACATTTATGTGAAACACTGTGAATTACTACCAAAACAATACTTAACGGCAAATACATAGTAATGTATTGTTGAGATTGAAGTCACATTGTATAATGATATTGTTTTTTTTTGTAATTTCATTTTGTATAGGCTAGTACAGCAACTACATTCACCTTATTCATCCAAGAGAAAACATTTGTGAGTGTTGTTGTAACGGCACACATAAAACCTTTGTAAGGTACTGAAGCCCAACTGAAATGATACCAATAAATGTAATTTAGCCCAAATAAACCACAACTGTTCACAGAGAGCACAAAACAGAAAACAGCTGTAGAACACTTATGGAAAGCAAGTTTTTTGGAAAGCAAAGCAAGTTTCTTGTCTAATTTTAAAGCTTTTTTTCATATTAGCACATGTCACCAATGGAGATTGTGAAGCAAAAAGTAAGACAAAAATTAAACAGCACCACCTCAGGCACTTGATAGCAACTAAATCTCAAGATCAGCAGAATAGTATGTATATATATTTAGATATATATATATATATGTATATACAAAAGGGGGGGGCATCTTCTTCCTTGTTGTTTGAGTTATAGAGAGCACAATGGCATCAGCCATATAAATAATTCAATTAGCATTTACCAATGTGTTGTGTCCAGGCTGTTAGCTTTTGTGTAACACCAAGGACATCCATTTGCCCTATACAGTATATTCATGTCACCACTGTTTGTTATTTTTGCTTGATCACTGAAGGCCAACTACTGAGAAATATATTCAATTAGTCTCTTTCATTGACTACAACCAAACATTTTATTCCACTCAGTGTACATGTCAAGTTCCTTTTGTGATATGCTGGGCTGGAATTTGCAAAACACACTGTCAAAGTCTTGGTAGGAGACTGGTCTCATCTGAGCTGGGTGAAGGGTTGACAAATCAGTACCAGGAATGCCGTGGAGAGGACCTACCACAGCCTCCTGACACAGCTGAGCCACATCCAGTCCGGAAAAGCCCTCTGTCCTCTGAACCAGTAGTGACATCTCTTTATCACTAAGACAGTAGTTGTGCTGTGAGAGCAGTTGGCTGATTATCTGGTGTCGTGCTGTCCCATCAGGCAAGGGGATGAGCAGTCGCTTGGCAAAGTACCTCCGTAGGGACTCGGGGATCTCTTCAGGCTTATTGGTGGAGCAAACCACGAGGACATGGTCCTCAGCAGAGGTCAGAATACTGTCAAGCTGCATGAGGAGCTCAGCCTTGAGGCGATTCACTGGGCTATCCTCACTGACCTGAGCTGATAGCAGCAGGTCCACCTCTCTGATGAACACCACCGATGGCTGGCGACACCGGGCCACGAGGAAAGAAGCTTGGATGATCTTTTCCCCTTCCCCGAGCCACTTGGTCACCAGAGCAGAACCGCTAAGTTGCAAGAAGGCCGCCCCCAGTTGTGTTGCCATGCAGTGGGCCATCAGCGTTCTACCAGTTCCCTGAGGTCCGAATAAAAGGAGGCTCCGAGGTAATGTGGCAAGTCCACTAAACATATCTGGCCGTAAAATGGGCCACAGTATCTCCTCTTTGATGGCTGTTTTGGCCATATCCAGACCCGCGATGTCGCTCCAGTCCACTGGAGGGCCCTGCTGAAGGATTTCTGTGGTCACCATCTCCACCAGGCTGGAGTCACTGTTCTTCAATTGTTCCTCTGCAGCATGGATGGACGAGGTAGCCGTACCAATGTCAGGCCCTGTTAGGGAGTGAGAGAGGTGCTGTCTGTGCTCTTCAGTTTGCTCGCTCATGATGGGGGATCCAAACTTGCTGTAGGGCTCACCAGTCCTCAGATCACCCACAGAGCTTTTGGTTGATCCATAGTTTGGAGGCGATAGTGCTCTGCCAGAGTGTAAAATAAATGTCCTTTGATGATCAGAAGACATTGGCTGTTTGGTGGGCTTAAAAGCTAAAGATGATGCCTCTCCATTTCTGTCAAAGCCATTGCCCCTGTTTGAGTCACTGTCTATTGTTCTGTACATTGGACTATGTGAAGAGCGCTGTTGGTTGTAGTTGAAATTACCATAGCTAGAGTCCATATCTCCATGTCCACTCATGTAGAAAGCTTTTCTTTTTAATGAGCTTGATGTGCTGCCATTTAACGGTGTAGGTGCAATTGGTGTATGATTATGGGACTGGTAGGTGTAGCCGGGCAGTGTGGAGGGAGGAATTGGTGTAGGAGCTGCAATACCGGACGACAGATACACAGAAGGGGGGGGTGCGCCCCCAGGGCTGTAACCAGGGCCAACTGCAGTCTGAGAAGGATACCCTGTTGGAGGATAATTGTAGTTGGGAGACCCGGCGTTGTAGCTCGGCACTAAGGCAGGGGGAGGCGGTGGGGGCGGTGGTTGTAAGAGCCCAGCACTGTGCAAAGGAGAGGGGTGGGGGGAGGGGAGAGCCGGGGTACTCTGGCCGCTGTAGCTTGAATGCAGGTAAGAGCCGTTGTAGCTGGCAGTATATTCCTGAGAGGGGAGGCCCGAGTGGAGAGTAGTGGCTGTGTGGCTCCCACAGTTACTGCTGGAGTAGCTGGGCTCAGACAAGCTGCTGGCCACCCCTGGGGAGCTGCCTATGCTAGCCGACACATCTGTAGGGGGCAGGGCAGCTGTCATTCCAGCTTTGCTCACAGATATAACATCTGGAGCACAGTTCATTGGGTAAATCCCCTCCTGCCAGGAATCATTCTCTGACTTTCTTCCATTCATGAGTCCAGTGGTGCTATCAGAGTAGGAACACAGCAGGCCTCTCTCATTTGGGCTCTCTAGGATCCCAGAGTACTTCTCTGCATATTTCTTAAGCAGATTGGAAGCAGTCAGTGCAGAGATGTCATCGTTTGCCCACGCATACTGGTATGTTCGCTGTAAGTGCCCCCGGTAGGCCTCTACTTTGTGTGCTGGAGAGCGGGTAGTGGATGAGATGTCAAAGTGTTGTTCTGCCCATTGTGTGTGCTCTGGGGTCCACTGCATCTTTAGACCTAGATATTCAATATAAGGGAGACAAATATTAAAGTAAGCATTAAATCATGGTAATAATCAATGTAATATTTTCATATTTTTTAAATGTCCGATAATAATCATCCATAATGCATTCATTTTTATAGATTGTTTAGGTGGTAAATGGTTGGAAATCAGGCAGTTATTTTTTCAATCAACTGTCCAAATGTCTCCCACATGACGAAAATACAACGTTAACAAAACACACATCTGGTCAGTATGAGGGTATAGGATCTAACACCTGGTTAGCGTGCTATAATCCACCCAACGCAGAGCAGAATGACACAGACATTGCGGGTCAGTCTATAATCCAACTCTCATCTGAGGCATTCTGAGACAGTTTCAAATCTACTTGGAGAAGAGCTGCAAAGCAATCTTTCTTGGCAGCGCTCTGTTGCTTTCATCACACAAACCCCTCAGCCCAGCATGAATTACATCCACATTCAGCCTGCCCACTGCTTCCTAGTCCACAGAGCGAGGGAGAGGAGAACAAAAAACATGCTTCACTTGTCTTTTTCTCTGCAGCATCTCTCAGTAACTCTATATGGCCTTGAGGGTTTGAATGACATAAACAATCGAGTTAAATCCTAAAGTCAATCTGCAAATTCAAGTTTTTAAACATGCTGTCGTCTTTTGCTTTGTTTAGGATTATCAAAGGATAGCCCAAAGAATGTAGACTATTAAAGAGGTTACAACTCAAATAATACATCGACACTAATCCGACCATAACCTACAAGCAGATATGAAAGGAGACATATTGAACAAAACGTTCAATGCCCGTTGTAATGCTCCCTGCTTTTGCTAATCAGGCGATGCAGTGCTATAGTTTGTACTTCAGTAGGTTAAGTCCATATCACAGGATTTAGGCAACAAACAGCCACTGTCCAGAGGCAGATTACAAACGCAGTGTTTGCGGATTCCCTTCTGACTCCCTCCAAGCTATTTGCCCACCCGCAACACTAGACACCAGGAGCTAATTAGCAGGATGATGCTGCACTAATTGCGTTAATTTACAAGGTTTTAGTCAAAGAGATCCATGCTATGTCTCACATGGTTGTCAACCATCCAAGCTAATGATTAAGAAAAAAAAGCCAGAGACAAAAAGCCCGAACAGACAAACGTGTATATTACCCATACTGTGCTGCAACAGAATGTGAAGTGAATTAGAAGATAGTCTTTTATCCCTATGTCCCTCTTATTATCACTGCATTTAACTACCCCCCCAATTAACATGTTGAATTTGAAATTTGTTGCCATGTTGTTGCAGAGAAAAGTGTTCCCCTCCCAACAATAAAAAACTGTATTTGGGCAGGAGCAAGTAGCGCTGAGTTGTCTGCCAACAAAATCTCATCCATTCACAGCATTTACTGACACCGCAGTGGAAGTATCAGGGTAATGGTTTTGTAAAATCATTCAGTAGAGTTCATTAACACTCAAGTCACAATTAGTCAATAACAAAATTGCACACAGCTTATTGAGTGTGATTCTTCTATTACTGCTAATCCTGATAATGTGGCACTTTGGATAATCAAAGGAGTGCTACTTGCAAAGTGTACTTGAGATCTTTAAGCATCAGGTATTTTACAAAATGGAAACCATCGAAGACGATTATCTAAATACAGCGCGCTGCTAAAAAATAACTGGGAAAGATTTATATTCTACAGAAAGTAATGCAATCTTGACATTTGGATGTATGGAGAACATGTTTTTTTCTGTTCTACAGGCAAAAAGGTATGTTTTATTAAAAAAACACAGACAAATAAAACATAAATTGATAAAATTATACTTTTCACTATGTTGATTACCAAAATAATTGTAGTACAATACAATATTAGCAACAACATCACCAACATTTGTGTCAATGAATCAACCAGTTTTCTCTTATGAGAAATATGGGACGCATGCTAACAAAAATCAGATTTCAAATGTTTTGATTTAGACAAAGGTTACGGAGTAGATAGTAAATGCATCCACTTCCAAGTAGGCACATAAACACTAACACATAAATCGACATAAATGCACCCATGTGCACTCACAACCATGCATTAGCATAATGATCTCGTACTTTGGCATTACGGTAAAACGGTTGTCCTTTATTCTACCTGCCTGAAAATTCAGATACAACATCCACAGGTTCCTTTGTCTTTCTTTGAAATGGTATAATTACAGAGCGCTCCATTAGTGGAATGTTTTCAGATAGCCTCGGGGCTCCAGCTCAAATTCCACTGATCAGCCACCAAGAAATACTGCCTTTGTTGGACCATTGTGTGTATCAATGTATAGATCTGGGGGGTCCTCTAGGGACAATTACAATGATGGTAATATAAGAAAATAATGTTTCGTCAGTTATCTGTTTCTATCTTCAGGTTGACTCAACTAAATGCTGCTGAATTTGAAAAAACAGACATTTGTTATTTAATCATAATTTATTTGATATTACAATTTATGTTATACACTTCTATAGATTATCTTATTGAATATAAAAAGAGCAGGCTGAGCCAAAATGCCATGTGATGCAATGGCGTTAAACTACGCTATGGTGTTTAATTTGTGGTTCAATGATCATCCCTGATGAAACAGAGATGCTGACCTTTTAGGGAACTATTCATCTGGTAGCCCAGGCTGTTTTTAAGCAAACAAGAGTGGGCCTCCACTCTGTCCATCCAATTTCCCAGTGCGTAAATTGGACCACCGCTTGCACAATTCTCTATTCATTACTGTTCTGCTGAAAGGAAGCACAGAGGTGGCAGAGCGGTTTTCCTTTCCTCTTTCTCAGTGAGTGTGAGTCTACAGTATGTGTGAGAGAGAGAGAGAGAGAGAGAGAGAGAGAGAGAGAGAGAGAGAGAGAGAGAGAGAGAGAGAGATATAATAAAGAGCTGGACTTTCCTTCCTTTTCTTAGATTGGGGGAGTGAAAGGTGGGAGGGTATAGGGAGAGGGGGGAGGGAAGTGAAAGCTGTCGTAATTGAAACGTGGCCTAATCAGACTCATTACCATTTTTACCAATTTGCACCACCAAAGATGCTTATTAGGTAACTGTGTTTAATAAGCCGCTCTTTAGAAAACTAACTGTAATGAGCTCTTTAAAGTCAGACTTGAGCGTGATTATGCACTGGAAGTGTTTTGCACAGCTAAAGCAGACTGGTACATTTAGTCATGTACAATGTCATAATTAAGCTGCACAAACTCTGCACTTCACACCACACAATAGTCCCAGCTGAGGCAGTAGACATGCCAAAAAGTATTTATAATGACTGATCATTACAACCCTGGGATTTTCATCGCTGGACGTAAACATAATTATGGGAGCTTTTGCTTTTATTCTGCACACACAAACCACTCTACTTGACAAGCGTGCAAATATTGCAGACAGATAGTAATTACGTTTATAAATAAAAACAAGCTCATATTCATATTCAAATTCACTGGAGATATTCTAAGTAGGGGTGGGGAAAAACACTCTAATACAATGTGAAGCAGTAATCGGTACAGCTACAGAGTCTCATTCATCTCACATATCAAGTTAAGACTGTTTAAACTCAATTTAGATCTCCATGTGGCAGTAATTCCAATCTTTAGACGGCAGGGTGCCATTTAACCCCTCATTTAGAAAATATATGCCTTCTTCAGTCACTGTCTTTTCCAGGGCTACTGCACATACATTTCACAGCATGACCACCAATAGCAGCAAATTACTACATGTCCCCACACTATCAAAGTGCACCAATCTTAGTCTATTTCATATAATCCGAATACAAAAGGTGGAACATTACTGGTAACGTCTGCACTTACAGTTAGTTAATTGTAGTTGACCTGTCAGGCAGGCAGACAACTTTGTTTACTCTCTTAGTAATCAGAATAAGAATAAGGATCGTACACATAGCAACGTGAGTTAGACAGACACACTTATACTTATTATCTAAAAAATAATTCTGATTAAAACATTTTTTTTTAAACAAATATGGTTAGATTTTGTATATCCACAGAGTGACTTCTGTGACTAATTAATCTGTTAATTAATGTAATTAATCATGTAGTGAATTAAGTGTCATGCAATACTCATAAATGTTAATAAGCTACTAGAGCATTAAACATGTGCCTACCTATGATGTCTAAACTGTACGCCATACTGCCAGTAGAGCAATGCAATGATATGTAGTTTCCCCTCTGAATTAAAGTATACATCCCAAATATATAATACTTTGATCTGCAGCTAGAGTAAATGTAATTTGCATTTTAAGATGTTTTGTGTTTATAAAAAAAGTTTGAGAAAAACGGCCCCAACTTGCAGTCAGTTCCCAACAATGTATGACTCTACAGAGCGGCCAATTATTTTAACAGCAGCTGTAAGAGCTTGTACTAGAATAAAGCTGTTTGCCTGCGAAGGGAAGTTGATGATCTGAGAAATTCATCTGAAATCCAGTGAGAAGATGTAAATGCCACTCTGAAATCCATTCATAATTTCACTGTACAAATTCCCACTTTGGATTTTAAATGACTGTTAAAGTAGCCTTTTTAAATATGTTGCGTATATGAGTGTACTGTGTAAATGTTTTGTTATTAAAGTGATGTGTAAGAGTAAGGACAAAAGTCGGCAAGGAACAACCAGTGAAGCGCTATGTGTGCATAATTTGCAACTGAAAAAAGTCCCCAACACATTTTTTTTTAATCCTGTCAGAGGAATATAAATTAAACATTTAAGTGCCTCGCTAAAAAAAAAAGAAAAAAAAGAAAGGACTTGCTGAGAATTGTGTGATGGACTAAATCTATTGGTCTTTGTCTTTTCCTGGGAATTGTTGACAATACGAAAGTATATCTGCAACTGCTTTTTCATATGCTCTGTATTCAAATGAAAGAAGACACAACAATTATACATACATTATCATTTATCTCTGTATGTTACATGTGAGCTTGTATATTTCACACACTTTTGTCACACAAACTGTAGTATCTCATCTTTCCAGTCGTCTATTGTCCTTGTCA